CCCTGCTATAGATTAGGCGAGTTAGGCGGCTGTGAGGCCCTCGTGAGCGCGAGGCCTTAGGCGTCCGCCTAACTCGCCTAATTAAAGAGCCGCCTCTGTGTGTAAAGACTGTGCACATACTTCCTACAATATTTTGGGGGCTTTTTTTCAGTGGAATAAATACACTCTAATGTCGATTTCTTTCTTTAAAAATGGCTGGTGCAGGACCTGTTGAAAAAGCAGCCTAGTCAAAGTATTTAAACACACATACCCACTACAATATTTTGGGGGCTTTTCACGGTAAAATAAAAACACTATGGGGTCTATTCACAAAAGGTGTGAAGAGTTTGGAGAAGGCAGGATAAGTGAACAATCTAGGACAACATAGCTGAACTGGAAAGTAAGCTGAATTGGAGAATTTTTCCAAATCGTCTATTTTGTCCTAGATTGTTTACTTCTCCTGCCTTCTCCAAACTCTTCACCCTTTAGTGAATAGACCTGTATAATGCTGACTTAAAATCTACCAGGTGTAGGTCCTATTGAAAATAGGGCCTAATACAAGTTATTAAATACTGTGCACGTAGGCACTACAATATTTTGGGGGGATTTTTCCCAGCAAAATAATAACACTTAAAGATGAACTCCAGGAAAAAAAAATGTATTAACCTTTGCAGTGAGGCTACCCCTGCACTGCTAGGGTTAAATGCTCGTTTTTGTCTAGGTTAAAAAAAAAAGTTATAATCGCCCAATGCTTTTAGCCTGCTTGTTCTTAGAACAGTCTTTACAGCCTCACTCCCCCTCTTCTGCAGCAGTCTGTCCCATAAATCATCATGTCTATTCACAGTGTATAGATGTGAGGACACTGAGGTCTTCCAATGCTACAGCAAAGGAGGAGACAGGCTAAAGGGAGGGCTGTGTCAGCTGGCTGGCTTGGTGCTTCAGGTGAGTATAACTTGCTTATTTTAGCACCTAGACAAAAACAAGCACTTAACCCTTGCAGTAAAGGGGTAGCCCCACTGCAAGAGTTAAGAAAGTTTTCCTGGAGTTCTTTAAATTTTGAATTTTTGGTTAAAATCTGGCTGGTATGGGTCCTGTTCAAAATTGATCTAGTACAAGTGATTAATCTTTTCTCCCAGAGCAATATTTTATACACAGTTTTTTTTGTACATGTTACAATTTTGGACTATGCTTCTGCCTCCTGCCTTGTACTACCTTGCCCACATGGTTCTGACCTCGGCCTTCTTCCTAACCACAATCTCGCCTGCTGTCCTGGTACCTCCTTGCCTACATGTTGCCAACCAAGACATTGGGCCTTCTCTCCCTGCTTCCTCGCTGTGTGATTTCTGTTCAGCCATTCAGTTAAGCTCCTGCAAGTTAAACTTCCTTTAGCAAGACCTGCTTATGGCACTTGTGCACCTCTGTGCCCCAGCTCACCTGTCCCGCTATTCAGGGGTCCTGGGACTAGAGTTGCAAGAGAGGCCGTCTTCATCACCTAAAGCTCTGTAAGGTACATGACAATGTCCTAGAAATATTGCTCTCACTCTGGCATGCGTGGCCATATCCAACATGCGTGGCACAAAACTCATTTTCTTACATTGGTGCACCCAACGTGACTGGTTCTCTGAACGTGGGGCAGGGGTCCTTTACAAAAGATTTTTGGGTGTTTTTTAATTTATTTAACTTACATTTTTTTTACTTAAATTAGTGGTGACAGGTTCTCTTTTAAGCACATTTCCACCTTTGTAAATGATTTGTATTTTTTGTTGGTTAATGTAGAGGCGAAGTATATGTGTGTGCATTGTCAGGAGTCACATTGTTGTTTTTCATATTTTATTTAATAGACTCTTTCACAGGCCAGAGTCCTAGAAATTGTGACTACAGTTGGAGGATTGTTGTGATTGCTAAATTGAGTGGTGCAATTATGAACAAATAGAGTTCTTAGAGAGTAGGAAATGTAAGGTTGCCGAGTAATATGAAGTGGTAAGACAAATACTAGTATACGACAGCTCTGTACAAATGACTATACAATCAGCCTCATGCAAGTTAAATCATCACACCAATTGTGTTCAAAGCTGTTAACCTTTCAATTAACTAGGTTGAATCCATATGGAATAATGTGCGGCTGTATGCTGCAAGTGATTTCCACATTGGCTGATGTTCGTGCAGCTCACCAATTAATTTGAGGCAAGTCATACAGAGATCTGCCCTCGGACTGGCTCATTTTTATTTTTAAACCCCTCTCTTTGACAAGGCAAGCTGTGATTCTGAGGAAGGGGGCATGTCCCTGAAACGCGTAAATGGAGCCTAAAAGCAGCCGGTGGCACGATGGTATAGTGATGTGACCGGAGGCAGGTTTTTAAATGCAGTCGGAGCGGAACATTCCTTAGACACTGATCTTGTGGTTTCTTATTGACTAGCATGACTTATATTTTACAATTGAGTATTTTTAACCATTTTTATTATTCAAATAAAAAAAAAAGATTTCACACAAGGAGGTGGTGCTTTGTTGCTTTTGTCTTTTATGTATCTCATGAGAACCCCACAGTCTCTTTGACGAGCAACCTCTCCAAAAGCTGTGGATATTTTACAAGACAGACTACTCCTGGAGGATTGTGTGATGGCAATCGTTAGTGGCAAGAGTTAAATCGACTTTTCCTGTGCTTGCTGAGGCGTTAAGCGGGAGTAACCGCGCTCTAACTTCAAGAGCTAACTGAATACTATCTCCTTGGAAACTCTAACAGTGCATACATGTGGGAGGTTTCTTAAACGTTTTTTACATCCATCACAAACACTTTCTGATCAGGTGCTAGTATATTTACTGCTTGACGGATCTGTTCCTCTGTCCACTTGTCATCAGGACTGTCTATTACGATGCTCAGCCCTAATTGGCTGTTCTATTCTTCACACCACTTAATTGCTGTGTCTGGATCTATACTGTTTGCCTGGCTCATTGGTGCTGCCATCACTCTGCAAGAGGTGTCAGAAGAGATTCCGAACGAGAAACTCCCACATGTAGTGCTACCCCCTAAGGAGCCTCTGGATAAACGGGTCCTTCTGTTCCACCTCTGCAATAGACCTCCACAGCACACCAGCACACCATGTGGGGTTTTGTAAAGCTTTACTAAACAGTAATGTGTTAACTTTATAATGGTACAAGCAATTATCAATAGAAGAAGGCATGCAATAGAAAACACTATAATGTTCAGGCAGGTGCTGATACTACTGCCTATCTGACTTCCCACACGATACTAAACTGACTGGATTATATCTCCTGGTGAATTGTGAAAGCAATAGTACAGTCTTAGTCCACGCAGACCTGGGTCCTAAGCCTACTTGCCAGTGGGATTGAACTAGGCTAGCCGTCGGTGGGGCCCAAACTCTGCTAGTACAGATTACTTGAATACAGTAGTATGGTGGCCAGTGGACTCTCACCCGTACTGACGTTGAAGTAATGACCCTGAGTTGGTCAGCGAGAAAGCAGGCATCCCTGCCTCCTCCAGCCAACTTTCCTGGATCTGCAGAGCATCCCAGGACTAGAAGTACAGCAGGTGTCGACCTCAGATGTCAGCGGTAAAGTCTTCCTGGGATGAAAGCAGCAGTCTCTGGACTCTGGCATCAGCTGTGGTGTCAGCCTCTGCATCCCTTCGTGTTAAACAGGGCTGCAGCTTGCTGGCTAACTAAGGCGGTGTCCTCTCCTGCCAGGCAGTAATCACACAACAGGAGCACAGAGGATAACACTGCTGGAATTCTCTCAACGACAAAGTCAGAAGCCATCTTTGTAATGTCTGCTTACTTGCTTACACAATGCTAGACTGTCTGGGCTGTTTCCACACCCCCTCAGTTGCCTCCTCTCCAATATCTCAAAAACTGAACAAAATCGGCACAAATGCAGCACAAATTAATGGTATAATTTTATTCAGGCTTTACAAACGTGGGGTACTAACTTCACACAGCTTCTTAGCTACCTGCATATTCAGTTGGTCCTCTGAGCACTGGACCTGTTACTCTGTATCAGGGTGGCTCCTTTCCCTTTGCAGGGATCTATAGAGCCATACTTTTGTGTTCTAGTAAGGTGTGTGTGTCTCCACAAACACACAGGCACAACAAGGCAAGCCACTACCCTGCCCCTGCTCCCCACACCTTTCTCTTCCCTTCTCCAAAGTAGTAAATGAACAGCTACTGAAGATTGTGCTGTTCCTTGTGATCTTGTACTCATCATGAAGTTCAGGGAAGCTGAGCAGAGCTGGAGCTAGCCGTTTTGAAACATAATGACTACCTGCTTGGAAAAAAATGTATATAAATACGTTGCTGGCCAATGTATATTTGTTTAATATGGATTCATTATTGAAAAGGGTTTAAGATATTATTATTACTTTAACCACTTCCATTTTGGAGAAAAAGGGTAACTTTTTTGTAAACTATTTTTTATGGGGTACAGGAATCATATGTCCGTTTACATCAGATTACCCTTGATGCGGCACGATCTAGTCCGCGAAACGGATCTCTGATCAGTCTGCCTTTCTGGACCTGGCCGGATGCAGGTGCAATCGGGTGTAAACAGACACCCATCCGTTTACATGCTGCTGCCCGTAGACTTGCATTGGGTATCCAATCAGGTCCGGCTGAAAAACTCATGGACCGACCTGACCGGACGTGTGAAAGTAGCCCAACACACTAATAACATAGTTTTATCAACCTGATCACTTGTACATCTTAAAAAAGTATAGATTCGTTTTCCTTTACTGCTAGATCTGTGCAGAACTAAAGCGAATCATTTTAAAGAGAACTATGGCCCATATATTGGGAAAGATCCCGACTGGGAGCGGCAACTGTCACTGCAGGGAAAAGAACGGGAACTGAGTGATCAGCAATATGTGATCACTCAGTTCTCGATCTATAGAGCCGATGTCCGACAGTTTCAGTGTCACACTTCAGCTCTAATTTTACTTTAAATGTTTTGTAACCAAGCTTTGAAATAAAATACTGAAGCATTATCATTTGATGTTTATATATTGGCTTACGCTATAGAAAGAAATGCTGCATTGCCTCCATACAGAAACGATCGGTTCAACACTTGGAAGATGAAAGTTGGATACAGTGCAGGGAGAAGGGGTATTGAAGCACACAGTGAAAACAATATGCACTGGATAGCAGTCAAAGTTAGAGATAAGATGGAGGAATGAAGGTCATCATGCTTCTCAGTATCTAGTAAATAAATGAATAAATAAAATGTCAAAGTTAACAATTTAGTGCATCTGTGTAAATTGAATATATAATAAGAGATATACATACAGACATAGGGCAATAAGCATCCTTATATTAAATGTATAATTGCTTTTGCTGACCCGCTGTTTATGTCCAGTTCAATTAATTACTTTTCTCAGTTTTTATACTTGTTGATGTCACCTGTTTACAGTTAGGGCTCATTTACACCATGTTCAGCGCCTGATCAATGCCAATCACTGCAAGGACACTTATTTTCTATTATTTCCCTGTTAACATCACAACACTGCCCTCAGTAGGATTGCAATAAAGTGGGAAAAAATGCACACATGCGCATGTTTCCACACCTCACCTCATGTCAGCACCAGTCACCGCACTGCAGCGGAGTTGCAGTAAATACAACTGAACCAAACATGTCACTGTGACATTGCAATAAGCTTTAAAGGAGAACTATGAGGTGAGTGCTTTTCACTCACCTCATAGTTCTAGCCGACCTGTGACAATGAGACTGTCACAGGTCGGCTCAGTAGATCGGGAAGTGAGCGAACACATACCGGCGTTCGCTCACTTCTCGATCCTGTCACGGCTGGATTCCCCCCTCCCCGCTCCGATCCTCCAGCGCCGACTGGCGGAACAGACGGGGAGGGAGCGGGTACAGCTGGCTCTGCCTCTAGATAGGCAGAGCCAGCTGTCACTCACGCAGCTGAGCAGATCCAGACATAATTGTCGGGATCCGCTTTAGCTGCGGCGTCTCAGTATACCGCAAGCTGTAGCTCGCGGTATACTGAGCTTAGGGTGACGGGAGGACGCTAGTTTGTGTCCTCCCGTTACCCTAAGGAGAACTATGTGGTAAAGCCCTAACCCCATAGTTCTCCTTTAAATAGAAATTAAAATAACAGTGCCTTGCATAGTACTGCCGCCTCCCCCCACCGCCAGCACACAGCACACACTAAACTTGCCATTTTAGTGCATAAGCTGGTGTAAAAGAGAACCATCCAATCTTTGATCCTACCACTAGATCAGTTATTTTTCCACTTCGTGTAATATGGTGACAGCATTGTCGTTAAATTTAAACATTGGGGATGCACCAATACCGGTTTTTCAGTATCGAGTACTGATTTTTCTCAGTACTCGCTGATACCGAATACCAATACCGGAAGTCCCATTAAGGAAGCCGCGCAGTGTGTAATGTTTCACCACCCAGCTTCCCGATTAGCCGGAAAGCCGTCTCCATGCTCTCTCATCACCAGGTGACGAGGAAGCATGGAGCTGGCTTTCTGGCCAATCAGGAATCTGGTGGGCGGCTAATGACTTGTCGTCCAGCTTCTTGATTGGCCAGCTTTCTGACCAATTGGGATACCTGAGTCATTACCCGCCCCCCCTGATTCCTGATTGGCCAGAAAGCTAGCTTCATGCTTACTCATCACCTGGTGATGAGGGAGCATGGAGATGGCTTCCTGGTTAATCGAGAAGCTGGGTGGCGAGTCATTGCATGCTGCCTGGATTCCCGGCTAATCAGGAAACCGGGCAGCAAATCATTAGCCAGTTGTGCTCCCTTAGTCTCTCTCTCTCCCCAAAGCCCCTTGAGTCCCTGAGCATTATTTTTACCTTTTAGCGTTTGTAGTCTACCCTAATGTATTATACATATTTTTTTGGGGTGAGGGAGACTAATAGGGCTTTAATTAAGCAGCAGATTTGTGTATATTTTATATTATATATTTCCTGACACCAACACATGGCAGCATACGAATGGGTATGACTCCGCCCCCTGCCCAATCACAGGACCAGTTATACCATAAATTAAAACACACCTCCCAAGGCAGCCATTTTTTTCCCTGTCCTCACTGCTGAAAGCCAGTTATACTAAGAATATTTTTGATTTTTACCCTCACCTTGCTGGTTTCTTCTGGCCTGCCACACAGGTTCAGCCTCTCCTGTTGCGAAGTTCCCTTTGTTCAGTTGGCTAAATGCAATCTTATAAGGGAAGCCTGTATTTCAGAATAAAGATTTGTTTCTGCTCATGCCTTAAATGTGGCTGCTATGCTGAGGAAGAACATTGAGGTTACCTTCTCTTTCAGGTCAATCTGTTCATCTTCTGGAGGTATCAGAAATGGGCTCTCTGCGTGCACTAGGTCACATGCATTGTGGCTGGTTCAGCAGGTGGTGCCACAGTCTGGGTTCGCTCTTCTGAAGGATGTCATCCTTATGGATAGAATTTAGCGGTGTACCTCCAAAGTTATTCTGGAAGGCAGTAGCCTGGTCCATGTTCCTGTCCCATTACAGGGTCTATCCAGGAGCTTTGACCATGGTGAAATTAGGTTATGAATGTGTTTAATAGTGGAACAAATAAATAAATCTCAGCATTACCCTCCCTGGTTGTAATCGCTATGTCCCATTCGTATGCTGGCGTGTTGGTGTCAGGAAAACAGAAAATTGTATACTTACCTATTGGTCATTTTCCTTTCTGGATGCCAATACATGGCAGCATACCGGACCCTCCCATGGCTTTCGCATTGAGTACTTGTTATGAGAATGGTTGCCTTGGGAGGGGTGTATTAATTTATGGTATAACTGGTCCTGTGATTGGGCGGGGGGCGGAGCCATACCAATTAGTAGGCTGCCATGTATTGGCGTCAGGAAAGGATAATTACTGATAGGTAAGTATACAATTTTCCGTTATATAGTGCTTTCAGAAAGTATTCAGACCCCCTTCACGTTTTTCAATTTTGTTATGTTGCAGCCTGATACCACAGTTGTTTAAATTCTTTTTTTCTCATTAATCTACCTTCGAGTAGTCTGTTTGGGTATGACATGACAAGCTTTGCACACCTGGATTGGAGTATTTTCTGCCATTCTTCTTTGCAAATCCTGTCAAGCTCAGTCAGTTTGGATGTGGACCGTCGTGGACAGCCATTTTCAGGTCTCTCCAGAGATGTTCAATAGAGTTCTAGTCAGGGCTCTGGCTGGGCCACTCTAGGACATTCGCAGAGTTGTCCCTAACCCACTCCTGTGTTGTCTTTGCTGTGTCCTTAGGATCGTTGTCATGTTGGAAAGTGAACCTTCGGGCCAGTCTGCAGTCCTGCGCACTGTGGAACAGGTTTTCATTGAGGATATCTCTGTACTTTGGTCAGGGTTGAGGGAAAGCTGAATAGAGCAGTCTTGCAGTCACTGCTGCCACCACCATGCTTCACTGTTGGGATGGTATTGGGCAGGTAATGAGCCGTGCCTGGTTTCTTCCAGACATAACGTTTAGAATGGAGGCCAAACAGTTCAATCTTGGTTTCATCAGACCAGAGAATCTTGTTCCTCACAGTCTGAGAGTCCTTCAGGTGCTCTTTTGCAAACTCCAAGCAGGCTTCCATGTGTTTTGCACTGAGGATTGGCTTCCGTCTAGCCACTCTGCCATAAAAGGCCAGATTAATGGAGGGATGCAGTGATGGTTGTCCTTCTGGAACTTTGCCCCACCTCCACACAGGATCTCTGGAGCTCAGTCTGAGTGACCATTGGGTCCTTGGTCATCTCTCTTAATAAGGCCCTTCTCCCCCCGATGGCTCAGTTTGGCCAGGCGACCAGCTCTTGGAAGAGTCCTGGTTGTGCCAAACTTCCTCCATTTGAGAATTATGGAGGCCTCTGTGCTTTTGGGAGTTTTCAGTGCAGCAAAATTTTTTTGTAGCCTTCCCCAGATCTGCGCCTTGCAATAATCCGGTCTCCGAGCTCTGCAGGCAGTTCCTTTGACCTCATGGCTTTTGCTCTGATACAGTATGCATTGCCAGCTGTGAGGCCTTCTGTAAAGAGGTGTGTGCCTTTCCAAATCATGCCCAATCAATTTAATTTACCACAGTTTGACTCCAATCAAGGTGTAGAAACATTTCAACAACGATCAAGAGAAATGGGAGTCAACTGAGCTAAATTTCATGTGTTGTTGCAAAGGGCCTGAATACTTATGCCAATGTGATATTTCAGTTTTTCCTTTTTAATAAATTTGCAAACCTTTCTAAAGTTCTGTCAGTCATTTTGGTGTCACCCCCTCTGATGGTGTCACCCAGTGTGGGCCACACCCCTCTTGTGACATCACTTCCCAGTGAAGTTGTCATGCACATCTTTGTCCTACTGGGATCAATGTGCAAGACTCCAAAATTCTCCCAGGTGCCAAAGGTGTGCACGACTACTTCACTGGGTGAACTCACATATAATATAGACATACTTTAGTTCTGCTTTAAATAAACTGAACTACAGTGTAGCTGGGCTAATTTATTAATGTCTATAGAAAATAATATTCCTAGAGGGCTTGCATTGCTTCTTAGAAACCAAATAGATGGGAATCTGCACTGAAAAATAACAGTTGGAAAACAACAATAGGAATAAGACTGGTTGCTATTGGGCAGTACATTCTGCAACAATTTTTTTCCTCAGATACTTTGATATGCAAGTCCTCAGGGCATATTTATAAAGCAGTGAATGTGACATTTACTGCAACTGAATAAATCCCTGTAATTTAAAACATACGCACCAGGAAGATGCACCTCCAGTAAATGTTCAGTAAATGTCACTTTCTCTCTTTTAAATATGCCCCTTAGGGTCTGTGGAAATTACCCTACAACTTTCTCTGGGTATTACCTTTGTTTTTCCTTTTATGTCTGTCCATGATGAGCCCATTCCAAGGAGCACACAAAATGCCACAAAACTGAGACACCGCAAATACATTTGTGTATTTACTCACTGTAAGGAAAAGGAGAATTTCAATTAATTGACACCCATTAAAAGAAGAGCTAAACTGTTTTTGACCACTAGGGAGCCATGAGATCTAACAAACTTAACATGCTGCTCATTGCTACTATTAAGTGCAACAAAAGGAAACAAAAAACAGAATACTACAAGGTTACATAGTTACATAGTATTTGAGGTTGAATAAAGACACAGGTCCGTCTCAGTGTTTACACGGAGCAGAGCGGAGAACGGATGTTCTCCGCTCTGATTGTACTAAAGCACCAGCTTCTCCACTCTGCATTTATCCCAGTTTGCCTGAAACAGGGCTAAATGAAGAAGAAAAAACTATCCGCCTGGCGGCTTTACCGCCCCTCTAGCCAGGCCTCGGTGGCATTGCGGGAAATCCTGCCTGTACCCCTGTATGTTATAGTCTCTGTGGAAGGTATCTAAATGATTTTTTAATAATTCAATAATCTCTGCTGATACCACTGCTTATGGAAGAGAGTCCTACCACTCTAACTGAAAAGAATCCCCTATGCCCCTTGTGGTTAAATCTTTTTTCCTCCAGTTTTAGGTGGTGGCTTCTAGTCTTCTTTAGGGAGTTTACAGTAAAAAGTCTATTACTGATATTAGTAACACCATTAAACAATTTGTACATCAAGATCATGTCCCCTCTTAATCGCCTCACTTCTAGAGTGAACAAAGCTAAATTTAGCAACCTCGTGTCATAGCTTTGGTCCTCCAGCCCCTTAATTACTTTTGTTGCCCTTTACTTTACCCTCTCCAGCTCCAGGGCATTCTTTCTGTTAATTGATGACCAAAATTGAACTGTAATACTTAAGATGAGGCCGAATCAGCGATCTAAAAAGTGGCAAAATGATTGCTTTGTCTCTACAGTACATACCCTTTTTAATGCTTGACAGTACTTTGCTAGCTTTGTTTGCTGAAGCCTGACATTGCATGCTATTGTTTAATCTGTAGTCAACTATGACTTTTTCCACTTCTGACTTCCCTATTGGAGTTCCCAATAACGTGTATTCTGCATGCCTGTTTTTAACCCCAAAATGCATTATTTTAAATTTTTAAACATTAAACCTCACCTGCCATAAAGTTGCCCAAAACCCTATTTTATCCAGGTCCTCCTGTAATGCTAAAATGTCTAAGGAGGAGGCTCACCTACATTCCCAAATAGAAATAGCTGGGAAGCAGGGAAATGTTGTCCGGGAAATTATCCGGACATTGATTGGTCAAATGGAACCGCTCATTCAACAACGTGTTTCAAAGGTTCACCTCCTTTGTCTTGACAAAGGCTTGACAAAGGAGGTGAACCTCTGAAGCACATTGCCTAGCAATGTCTGACACTTGATGACCAGGAAGTACTTAATAGCTGTGATCTCGCGTGGAGTAGAACCAGCTACAGCACTGCTCAGCCACTGGATCAGATCTGTGTCTTCCAGCACAGGTGAAATACAATTGTGTCTTGCTGCACTCCTTACCGGTTCAAAGTATAACCTGTAGATTCCAGGTGGGTGCTTGCAATGACTATGGATGGCACCATAAAACATACATAAGGTTCAAGAATGTCACCAGCTCACCAAGGGTAAAGTGAAATCAGTCCATTTAATGACAAAACATTGTCATTCAAATGCAAAAGCTTTCGGGGTTGTGCAGGGTCCCCTTCATCAGGCTCAGAATGACACCAAGTACACCAACAAAACCCTTTAAAATTATTTTAAATTTTTAAACATTAAACCTCACCTGCCATAAAGTTGCCCAAAACCCTATTTTATCCAGGTCCTCCTGTAATGCTAAAATGTCTAAGGAGGAGGCTCACCTACATTCCCAAATAGAAATAGCTGGGAAGCAGGGAAATGTTGTCCGGGAAATTATCCGGACATTGATTGGTCAAATGGAACCGCTCATTCAACAACGTGTTTCAAAGGTTCACCTCCTTTGTCTTGACAAAGGCTTGACAAAGGAGGTGAACCTCTGAAGCACATTGCCTAGCAATGTCTGACACTTGATGACCAGGAAGTACTTAATAGCTGTGATCTCGCGTGGAGTAGAACCAGCTACAGCACTGCTCAGCCACTGGATCAGATCTGTGTCTTCCAGCACAGGTGAAATACAATTGTGTCTTGCTGCACTCCTTACCGGTTCAAAGTATAACCTGTAGATTCCAGGTGGGTGCTTGCAATGACTATGGATGGCACCATAAAACATACATAAGGTTCAAGAATGTCACCAGCTCACCAAGGGTAAAGTGAAATCAGTCCATTTAATGACAAAACATTGTCATTCAAATGCAAAAGCTTTCGGGGTTGTGCAGGGTCCCCTTCATCAGGCTCAGAATGACACCAAGTACACCAACAAAACCCTTTAAATAGGCATATTCAAATTTGCAAAGGGAGTAAACCTCCTAACCCTGGAAACATCATAAACTAGCATTCCCACCATAAGATTCAAAATTACTTACAGATGCCGGCATGTGGATAGAAAGGGCGTGCACAGCGGTCACAGCCGTTACTGTGCGCACATCAACCTGTTGTTATGGTCTCAGGACACCAAGCAGGGAGTTGGCTCCGCCTCGTCCACCAGCGCATGCGCCGTTGAGGTGGAAAAGTTGGTTAGGCTAACAATCCATTTGTTTTATCTTGTTCAAGACTCCATTTGCTGAATATCTGAACAAAAGTCTCTATGTACATAAATTCACAGGTTTTGCATAATTTGCTATATTTGCAACTTGTTAGACTTATGAGCTGATGATTAATTGACCAATACTCCCAAATATGGTATAGTTTCAGACACCAGACCAAGTCGGCCCACAACAAAAGAAACATTAGTTCTTCTATTACTGTTTCGGTTTGATTAGTAAAGATGATGCAATTGTGGGAGTGGCTCTGTGGTTTCAGAGAATTAACCATTTCAAAGCTGTGATAAATAATCAAATATTTTTGGATGATTTGTATTTCCGTGCCTGCCCAGTGTGGGATGCCACTGGGATGTGTCTCATGAATTATGCTAATGTGCCTTTGCTTAAAAATGTATGCAATCTTTTTTTTTGGGTGTAGTATGCTGGCTATCATACTGCCCAACATATGTTGAATAAATCTTACTCATGTCAAGGACACAAATCTCTCTGTTCCTGTTTTTTTGCAAGGTCTGGTATTCCTGCCAGGACACCGTGTGGAACACAGGGCACTTCCTGACAGAACACTACATCAGGGTTGCTGATAATGTAAGTCTCCGTCAACGCTTCACGCATGTGGGACAGGAGACTGAAACGCACAGAGCTGCAGGCTCTAGCGGTAGGCGGGAACCCATTCATACACAGCAGGAACATAATGAAAATAGAAAGCATATGACGGAGAACCCAAAATTAAATATCAAAGTCATATCCACTATCAGATTTTGAATAATGGCACCATAAAGTTATTGAACATTGGAAAAACAGAGAAGCATTTGAAATAAAGGAAAATAATATATAAACCGATTAGTAAAATTTGGTATACGCATAAGGCTGGTAACCTTATATAAAATTTGTATAGTACAGGAATATTAAGGGGGATTAATAGTAGACCGTTGACACCTAGGGGAGCCATTGAAAACAAACATATTATGTCAAAGTCATGTCATTTATGTCAGTTATGTCATATTATGTAAAGCAAATATAAAAATAACTCTGGAAAAAACATACAGTATGTATAAGAATTGTGGAGGCCCGTAATGAATGGCAACTATGCATATAACCCAGATGGTATTAAGATGTCAGGGGTAAAATTACG